AAATGTAGCTGCAAACCCAGCAGCTCAGTGGGGAGCCTGGCCCAGTGACGTCAGCCCTGCGGTCAGCGGGGCCCCACCATGAAGGCCAGCACGGCCACAGCCTCACTCAGCCTGCTTCCCACAGGGGCCGTCACCTCCTGCCTCACAGGGGCTGTCACCTGCTGCCAGACCTGAGCGTCTTGTTCTTCCTCAAAGCCCCTCCTCCCGACGGGGGAGAAAACTGCAGACGCATCTGGCAGACGTGCTCAAATAGAAGAGATTCTAAATATTTAACTTGTGCAGATCCCAGAGCACAGGAAACGGCGGCTCTGGCACCAACCACGTCACCTAATAAGGCAACGTTCTGCTCTGGTTTATGCGGGAGGCTAGTCCTGCTCGTGCCCACACACACCGTGACACTCGGGGTGCCGAGTGCAGTGGCAAGCAGGAGCCCCCCAACTGTCTGGAGCGAGGACGGTGAGCTGTGCAGCCTGCACAGGGGTGAGGGGGCCAGATCCCAGGCTGAGCGTGAGATTCCCTCCGCCTCCGGTCACGTGGCCTCACACACAGGCTGCCTCCCCGAGACACGGGGGGCTCAGGAGCAAACCCGGGCGTGACCCCTCCCCCTCACCTTTCCCAGCTGAACCTGGGCAGGTGCCACCCCCACGAAGTCGCTCCTCCCTGAGCGTCGCCAGCTCCGTGGGCCTCACGCTCACTCTCGCGCGTTCCCACGGTCGGAGGCCACCTTGGTGCTCGTGGGAGTGCAACGTGGCGCAGTCATTTCGGAGGACAGTTTGGGGGTTTCTTACAAAACTAAACACACTCTCACCGTGATACAGCGATCATGCTCCTTGGTATTTACCACAATAGGTTGGAAATTTATGTCCACGCAGAACCCTGCACCTGGATACCGACAGCAGCTGTAGCCCCAACTGCCAGATCTTGGAAGCCACGCGGGTGCCCTTCAGCAGGGGACGGATAAACGAACTGTGGCCACCCAGACCACGAAAGGTTACTCAAAAGAAATGGGCCATCAAGCGGGGAAAAGACAGGGAAGAAACTGACGTGCATGTTACTAAGTAAAAGAAGCCGGTTTGGAAAGGTTTCCTACTGTAAGATTGTAACTCTGTGGCAGCCTGGAGAAGGCAAAGCCATGGAGACAGTGAGAAGGCCCCGGGCAGCCGGGGGCTGAGCGAGGGACGAGCGGCGAGCCCAGGGGCGTTTAGGGCAGTGAACTGTCCTGGACGAAACCGTAAAGGCAGACACAGGACGCTGTGCGTTTGTCAAATCCTATAGGACACACAGGACGACAGTGAATCTTAATGCAAACGGGGAGCCAGTCGACAATCAGGCATCAGCATCGGCCCATCGACGGCAGCACGGCGACGCGGCGACGCCCGAAGCTGCTGAGGGAGAAACCGGCGCGTGGGGCTGTCGAGGGGCCGTGTGGGGGCCCTGCGGCACCTGCAGGTTTTTTCCTGTAAATCTAACACTGCAGGAAAACAATAAAGCGCATCCAAAACACAATCGATAACTGGAACACCGCTTCCCGCCGGGAGAGAGACGCGGGCGTTACGCTCCAACCGTGGAAACGGACTCCCCCGCGCGGGCTCAGGGAGGCTCCTCGTCTGTGCCACTCGCTGGCCTGGGAGCCAACCAAGACCTCCAGCCCCTCGAGTCGTTCCAGGTTCTTCCTGTCGCTTTATTGCTCAAAACCCTCCATCTCCCCTTTACGTCACATCTAAAGGTGGCAAAAACGTGACAAGAGGCCGTAGGAAACTCACAGGCCTCCGGTAGTCACTGAGCACCCACCAGCCGCCCACCACGTCCGCAGGAAATAAAAGAGCAGAGAAGAAGGGAAGGCCTTGATTTCTAAACACAGAGCAAGACATGAAACAAAGAGAAAAGTCTTAAGTCATTTATTAACATCTTCCACTTCATGGGCAACTGACTTGTAACATGGGGCTATTTCAAAAACTGCAACGGCTTGAGATAAAATAGCTCAGCAACCACGAGAACACACAGCGGTTAAAAAATGCTTAAAATAAAATTTGAAAATCTCGAGTTAATAAAAACTCTCTGCCCAAAAAAGCATTTGAGAGAAACTTTTCTAATTTCTTAGCATTAAACACTGACCTCTAAAATGCAGAAAACATCATTTTTTCTTGACGCAGAGTCAACACCAAAACAGAAAACCAAACATTCCCGTTTCCAAATTAAAGAGAAAACGTGCCCTTTGGTGGAGGCCAATCTGGAAAATGTACCTCTCAGTTCTGAGCTTAGACGCGCGGCCAGAGGGGGTGCTTTCTCTCGCTGTCGAGACTCGATGGTGGACAAAGGTCCCATGTCTCCTGTTGGGGCCCAGCCTCGGCACCTCGCAGCCCGACCGAGTCTGCGCACTTTTAATGTCCCGCAAACTCGGCCTCATCACAAGCATGAGGTGCTCACGGTGAAGGCCGAACATTCTCAGATGCCTCTCGGCTTAGCTACAGATTTCCGTTCTGAAGCCCCTCCCACCAAAACGGCGTTTGAGACACCCCTGAATTTCACCGGGACGGCAGACCTTTCCCCAGCGCGCTCGCGTTATTTATCCTATAGTGACAAGAGCTGGCACCTGGCCTCTGCAGAGCGAGTGACTAGTAACGCCCACAATGAACAGCCACACACGGACACGCAAACACCCACATACATGCACACACATGCACAAACACACAGGCACACACACATGCACACACAACTGCAAAGCCCAGGGCTGAGCTTGGACATGAACGACCAGAAATTGATCCCGTTCCCACTGGCTGACTGGAGTCGATGGACCCACCTGGCCGAGCTGGCCTTTCGCAGACGTGATCGGACCCCGCGGGGTCACCTCACCGCTACCATTTCAAAGATGAGAGGCTGGGACTCATGCCGTAAATGACTTGCTCAGGACCCCCCGGTCCCCCCAGTTCCCTCCAACCCCTGCAGGTCTCAGAGGCCCCACAAGGATCACAGTTCCCGTGAGAAGAAAGGCCTCAGCCAGACTCACAGCCACCAGGGGGAGGGACGGGCACATCTCTAGTCGCACAGGTCACCGTCTCCCACGGGCAGCCTGTGTCCTGACGTGTCTTCCCCAAGCACAACGCGTGTGTCTCTCCTGCCCCCCCAATCCACGTGCTCCTCACGTCAGCGAGGAGGTCGGCCTGGCTTTGTGTCAGGGCCTCAAGGGAAGATGCCGCCGCTGTCCTGGTTGGCACGCCTGTGGCCCGTCCACGTGTGNACAGGTCACCGTCTCCCACGGGCAGCCTGTGTCCTGACGTGTCTTCCCCAAGCACAACGCGTGTGTCTCTCCTGCCCCCCCAATCCACGTGCTCCTCACGTCAGCGAGGAGGTCGGCCTGGCTTTGTGTCAGGGCCTCAAGGGAAGATGCCGCCGCTGTCCTGGTTGGCACGCCTGTGGCCCGTCCACCTGCTTCTGCCCAAGGTCCATCCACATCACGATGGTTTTAGTATCCAAACTGTGGTTGCATAACTGGGATGCACCACGTCACCCCGAGAGCAGAGGACGGGAGGAGGCCACCCCTTCCCCAGAGTGCAGGCCCCGCACAGAGCTTCCCCCCTGACCCCGGGCCACGGCCGGGGCAGGAGAGGCAGAGGCGCCGGGGCTAAAGCCCCCCCGCCACTCAGCGAGACGAGAGGATGACATTATTCGCAGGAACACAGGCCTTTGCCTGCCACGTAATAAGCCTCCTTTGAGCTGTAGCCACGGTCCTACCAAGGACACTATTTAATGTCAGACAACAAATGAAACATGCCCCTGTACAGAGCGAGGGCTGGAGACCACGTGCGCACACGCCGGGGTCCTCGCCGCTGGGGGATCGGCGGCCTCCTCCCGTCCTCTGCTCTCGGGGTGACGCGGTGCATCCCAGTGATGCAACCACAGTTTGGATACCAAAACCCAGGAATTCCACGTGATATAATGAGACCCCCTTAAGGAGGAAAATTGGGTAAATTCAGTCACACACACTTTTAGGTAAATTAATTAACATTTTTACATAATACACTTTTACAGTCCACATTTAAAAGTAGCTATCGAGTTATGGTTTCATATTTTAAGCTCTTCAAATGACTAAAACCTCCCTAACTTAGAGTTTCGTTGGTATCTTGATGTTTTTACAATCTTGCATTTAGAAATGAAATTTTAAAATGGGGGAAATAAATATTTTAAAACTCAGAAATAAACAATGAAAACATGATCTGTGTGATTTTCCCTGGAGTGCAATTTACCACGATTTAGAGCAGAATCAAAAGATGATTATCTTTTGGCACTAATTTTAATGTGAGCAATAAAACCAAAGTTATCAACTGTGCAGAAAGAGAAGTCTGTGCTGCGGCCCCATAAAACGGGGGAACATCGTGAGCACAGGGGGTGGCTCCGGGCGGGAACCTGAGCTGCTCTAACAGTCGGTCGGGGGAGAAATACTTCATCCCAAGGGGGGGGGGATCGCAGGGGTGACACAGCCAGGGCCCCTGCTTTCTCCCCATAAATGAAAAGGCCAGTAAGCCAGAGGCTCCCCAGCACTGGGCCAGGGGCCTGCGGGAGTCCGGGGTCTGCGGTCTCAGCCTCACGCCCGTGGAGGTCTCGGGAGGGTCACCTCCTCAGCCGCACGCGGGTGTTGGGAGAGCTGTGGGCAAAGACCCGGAGCAGACGCGCCCCATCGCCAACCTCAGGGGTGAAATCAATAAAGAAACAAAGCAGCCAGCGCCCCAGATTCGGCGGCGGGGGGGGGCGGGTGCTCGGCATCTCGGAAATTAGGTTAAAACAAATATTATCAAATATTTCCATTTTCACCTAAAACTATAGTCTGCTACAGAGAAACCTTTTAAAGAATGTAGAAAGTGTAATAAAAACACCAAAATCAGAACTGTATTTTCATGGTCAAGTCCTAAGAACTATTCGCACGACTCTCTGCACCAGCAAAGAAAACGCTGCACACGCCCGACTTCAAGGAGACGAAACCAGCGACATGGGGCCCTTTTTACCTGAATGTTTATTGGTTTTGTTCTGGCGACTTTTCACTTGCTCGGTCCAAAGCGTAGGGTAGCGGGATGCAATATCTAGCAAAGAAAAATAAAATGATCGTTATTTTTAAATCATCGTGAAAATGCAAAGTCTCTCAGAGATGTCAGCAGGTAGCCTAAGAGTCAAAGACACATCAATATGATAAATAGATATATATCGTACATTTAAAAAAGTTAAAATAACTGTGTGCAGGAGATGATAATAAATAACAATAAACATTTTTAAGCGTTTAGCATATTTTTTCCTTTCTTTCTTCATCTGAAAGTGTAAACGAATGTGGTATGAATCCGTCCAGGCCCCACGCAGTAGAAGCGAGTTAGCAAAAGGCCCCACTGTCCAAAACGTCCCTGCGTGGCCACGCCAGACATTCGTGGAACACACAGGGTCTCGCTCGGGCGAGAGATTCCATAAAAATGCAGCATGTAGGGAACGACATTTGTGTAGGCATTTCGGGAACATGTCCTTTTGGCAATGCTGTTTAGCAGGTGTAACTGAATAATTACAGTGGGGGTCAGCCGCGCGATGTGCCCGAGGGCCCCACAGACAAACACCGCTGGGTCCGGCCACCTGTGCCAGGTATGGGCCTCCCGAGCTCGGACAGCCGCCCTCAGAGTCTCACCTGGGCAGCAGGGCACAGGCGTAGCCCTCGGGGCCGGGCCTACGTGAGCTGTTACTATTGTTATTATTTTATTATTATTATTTGCAAAGCGCAATGTAATGCTACCTTCCAATCTCAGATTTATTTATTATGTGTGTTCCACATATCTTGTCTTCAAACCCTGATACGCTTGACCTGAAAATCTGGGATACGTCGGCGAATCCCTGAGACAGCCTACGGGAGCCTGCGAGTAGGAAACCCCCTCGTCACGACTACAGATTCAACGACCCCAGAGACACCGCCGTGAGGTTACGAAGCGTGTCTGGGTCACCACGAGGGGGTGAGCGCGACGCGACGGGCGTGAAACGTGAGCGAGACACAGCACACGCCGTGGCGCTCTTTCCAAGCGCCTGTTTCTGTTCCCCCAGGTACAGGATTTCAGTCCACAGATGTCTATTGAAAAGACACCTCGTGCTCTGTCTGCTCTAGGAAAGCACGTGGAGCACTAAAGCCACGAGGGACAGCGGTGCTCACAGACTGGGACACGGCCCTGCCGGCCGCTCGGCACGGAGGTCACGGGAGGCCCCCCCAGGCCGACCCCCAGCTCACCTTCTTCGTCTCCTTGAGGCTGAGTGTCCAGCGTGGGCGCTGAGGCATCATCTGAATTCAGAACGGAAAACATTTGCAAGGAGACTACAATCACGAGAGTAAGTTAAGTAAGTGTGCGTGCGGGGGAGGCCACGGGTTTGCAAACAGCCCACAGATTAACGCGAACCACCACCCAGGACACCCGGGGGCACTCGAGGCGGGCGTGTGGGAGGGGCACACGTGTGCTCGGGGAGCAGCTCCTCCCACGCGCCGCACTCACGGCTCCACACGCGGTCCCGTGGGAGCCGCACGTGGCTCCCAGCCCTGAGCCACCGTGGGAGAGACACGGACGGGGCCTGAGCCGGAACCCAGCACTGAGATAAACCTCAGCCTGAAGGGCCGGCGAGGTCAGGTCGCCACATGGCGTCCGGAGGAAGACTGGCGGGAGCTGGGCGAGTGGGGACTGGCAGGGGCCCGAGGGTGGGCCGGATGCCCTGGCTGGGCCCGTTTCCCGAGCGGCAGGGCAGGGATGAGGGAATCCCGGGCGAATGGTTGCCCCGCGGTCTCTGCAGCCCTGAGGCCGCTCGTCCACTCTGCAGCAGTGACACCCATGAGGGGCTTCGTGATGGGGTGGACGGGGACAGGGTGATGGGACAGGGTGATGGAGATCAGAGAACGGACGGCAGGGACTGGGGTTACGGAGAACTCGGGGTCTTTTCACTGACAACGTATATCACAAGTGCGTAACCTTGATTTAATTGGTTGAAAAGGCTCGCTGGGCTTCCCTGGCCGAGCCTAAGGCTTAGTCTGAGACACAGCAGGTGGCAAGTGAGCTCCTAGGTCCCGCTCATGACACCGGGCCCCAGGGATGCGTCACAGGCACCTCGTGGGCTCCAAGGACCAGCCTAGTGCGTTCCATCGGATCTCACTTTGTTGTATAATAATCTCAGGAGCAAATCCCAGTACAGCCCGGCCGGTGTGGCTCAGCGGCCGAGTGTTGACCCATGAACCTGGAGGTCAGAGTTCGATTCCCGCTCAGGGCACATGCCCAGGTTGTGGGTTCAATCCCCAGCAGGGGGCGTGAGGAGGCAGCCGATCAATGACTCTCCCATCATTGATGTTTCTCTCTCTCTCCCTCTCCCTTCCTCTCTCTGAAATCAATAAAAACATATTTTTTTTTTTAAGAAGGGAGGGGCTCACTGCTCTGCCTGGTGCTCGCTGGGGCCCCCCCCAGAGCACAGTCTGTCACAGGTGGGAACTGTACCCCCTTCCTTCCCAAGAAGAGCCGATGGCCTCTGTCGGTGGCCTCGCAATCACTATGCCTTAGAATCGCACGTGTAACAGCCCAGGTGCTAAACCGGAGCCCCCTCCACAGTTGTGGGGGGTCCCTACCAACACCTACAGGTGTTCCCAATACAAACCAGGTCTGAGAAGCCCCGATGTGGGCACAGGGGGCAGGTTAGGCGCCCAGCACCCACAGGGCACCCAGCACTCCTGAAGTTTGTTGAATGACTAATGTTTAACCAGAGGCTTCGGCTCTCATTGTCATCACCGGTACATGTTTAAATTGTAACTCGAAAAGTTATTTCGAGGCACAGATTGGATTAGATGCAATGTATCAACATGGAAATTCATTTTAAGATAGTTACCTGTTTTTCCTGTGCCTTCCCGTTGAGGTAACTTCTCATTGATGGAACCTAAGAGAGGAAAACACAGAATGAAATTAATTATTTTGGTTCTGAAATGTTCATCGATAATGGTAATAAAGTATTTTGTTCCGTTTTGATGAATTCATGGTCCTTGTCACTTTCTGGTTAAATCAGACAAGCTACCCGGTGCCCGAGCTGGCAGGGCCGTCGGAAGCCGCAAATCCTAAAGCAGGAAACGCGAGGTCAGCTCCCGCCTCTGCCGCTGGCTCACTGCCCTTGGGCATAAGACCCTCTAGCGCCCAGTTTAGCACATTTCTTCGTCTGGAGGCCACAATAGCCTGCGTAACTGCCCATCGCCACACTGGGGTGGTCAAATGAATTAAACTTTAAAAAATAAAAATAAAAGTTATGCAACTGAAGATAAATAACAGCCTTGGTTTTAGGTGGATTCCAATTTATAGAAGAAAAACAGCCACACCTGAGGAACCATCGTCTTGTAGAGGGAAACAGGAACGACACTAAGGCCGACCGAGTGCTTCTTTAGGAAAAAGTTTTGTTGCATTTATATAATACTCAGGTTTATGTTACGAATATGAGTCTCGTCCTTTCTGCCCCGTTAGGGTGAAGCTGCTCTAGGCTCCCACATTTTCCTCATCGGGAACATACTCAAAGACATTTGTTTTAAAAATCTGTTCAGAATGACTTCGGAGTCTACCTGCCGACTGGGGTCAGAACATCGCACCCGGGTCCGTTCAGAATAACCACAGACGCTCGGTCGTACTCGCCAGCGAAACACCTCGGGAAACAGAGCTCGAGATGCGTTATTTCCCAACCTTGAACATGGCGTGAACTACAGACCGGCCCTCACATAAATGCCAGGCCCTTGATGACGTTCTGAGCCTGTTTCCCCCGTTTCTTGGACGTACAACAGCAACTTAGCAGGAACCACACAAGCGCCTCACAGAAAGGATCCTGAAGGACCGAGAAGCTGACATGACCTGCGGGGCTACCGGCCAGTCCCCCAAATACTGACAAAACCGCGTTCTGGTGATGGGTCCTCACACCGACCCAAACTCAAGGCAGCAGGATTTCTTTTCTTTTCTTTTCTTTCCCTTTTTTTTTTTTTTTTTTTT